TTTAACATTTCAAAAATCAAATTTTTTATATTTAAATATTAATTATATAAATCAATTTCTCCCCTCATCCGTCTTCTCTCTCCAATTCCTCTCCTCTCCAATTAATTGTATTCTCTCTCTACCCGTCCTTTCTCTCCACCGATCATCTCCATTTAATTATATTCTCTCTCCAATTTTCTCTCTCTCCTCTCCACCCGTCCTCTCTCTCTCTCTCTCAGAAAAATGTCGTTTCAGCACAGCTTTTCCTCTCCAATTTCTCCTCTCTCATCTCCACCCGTCTCTCTCTCTCTCTCTCTCTTCGAAAAATGCCGTTTCAGCGCGACTTTTCCTCCCCAAAAGTGCTACTGCTCATCGTGATTTTTTTTTTTTGTGGTGGTTTGCTATGGTGGTGTGGCGATGACGTCAATGCTAATCATGATGGTGGTGAGACTGTGGTGGTCGGGATGTTGGCGATGGTAATGGCTGTGATGTGAGTTGTTGGTGATGTTGGCTAAGTTCTAGGTTTCGATCTAGCATTGGGCAGGAGTACATCAGGGAGGAGACGATGTTGCTGTCGGTGCTCGTGGTGGTTCTGAAGGCAATGATGACAGTGATACTATTGGAGGCAGTGGTTTTCATAAAGGTTGGGGTGGTCACATATTATTTGTTTGATTGTGACCATTGAATTGATTAATCCGTGACCAATAAACAATATGTGACGGATGAAGATAAATTGTGGCCAATGTGACCTAAAAAATATTAATTTATGACCGTCTAATAAGTTGTGACCTTGTGATCTGTGACCGATACATAAATTGTGACGTATTAATTTTTGATTTGTGATCGATGAATAAATTGTGACATATAAAATTTTGAATTGTAACCGTAAAATAATTTATGATATTTAAAAATTATGATTTATGATCAGAAAATAATATGTGACTAACTAAATTAAGAATCTGTGATCAAATTGCATAGTTATGTGACCTTAATATATATAATTAATAAATTATATAATTAATTAATTATGTAGTTGAGGGATTTAATGTGTATTCAGTATTTTAGGGAGTTGAATCTGAATGCTTGATTTTAGGGACTAACTCTCTCTCTCCCTCTCTCTCTCTCTCTCTCCCTCCCTCCCTCCATATGGGATAATATATGGAATCCGGCTTTTGAAGGTAAATGGACGTTGATTTTTAGAAAACTAATTGATTGTTACTACCATATTTCTGATTTTTGCAAATTCAAACTTGTCATCTTAGTTTTGAAATCACCTATACTTACGCTAGAATATATGAAATTTTCCCTTTGTGCTTTAACACCAACCATCTTTGGTTCATTTGGATGTTTCTAGGAATGGTAATTAGCACAAAACATCTTTATCTTTTAATGTTATTGTGTAAAACGTCTCTATCTTTTATTTTTTTGGCACACCCCTACCTTCACCTTTTATTGCGCAAATCATCATTTTCATCAAATTTCTCGTGTAACATGATAAATATACTCCCTATTTAAATAAAACAATAAAAAAGAAAGAAAAATTAAAGAATATATTACAATTATACTCTTAAACTTTTTTTAAAAAGTGCAAATGAGTTTAAATAAATTATTAAAAGGGTAATTAATAAAAAAAGTCCATACATTTCATTATTATTGTGCAAAATATCTATACCTTTCATTTTTTGACATTTTCACCCTTATTTCATATTTCATTGCGAAAATCGTTATTTTCATCTATTTTCTCAATTAAAAGCTGTAAATTAACAAATATACACTCTTATTTAAGTAAGCTAAATAAAAATAAAAATAAAGAAAGATAAAGAACAAATTGCAATTATATTTCCAAAATTTTCAAAAAAAATACAAATCAATTTCAAATAAATAATTAAAAAAGTGATTTTTGTTTTTTAATTATTTATTTGAAAATTATTTGTAGTTTATTTTGAAAATTTTGGGAGTATAGTTACAATTTGTTCTTTATTTTTGTTTATTTAAATAGGAGGGTATTTTTGTTATTTTACAGCTTTTAATTGAAAAAATAGATGAAAATAATGCTTTTTGCAATGAAATATAAAAATAAGGGTGAAAATATTAAAAAATAAAAGGTAGGGATATTTTGCATAATAATAATGAAAGTTAGGGATGTTATGTGTTAAATAACCTTTTAATAATTTATTAGGATTCATTTGCAAAATAATAATGAAAGGCAGGGCAGGATAGGGTGTTGGCCCGTTCACGTACCCTTTTTTTATTTTTTTATTTGATTTTTGATAATTAATTTTATTGTCCCCATTCATTAAAGTGAGATAATAATATAGTTATTAAAATTTTAAATTAATTAATTTATTTTAAAAGTTAACTTATTCGAATATATTTTCTAAACTAAGATTTTTATTATTTATCATATTCTTTAGATAATTTTAATTGTTATATTCTATTAGAATTAATGACATTTCGTAAAATTTTTCATTTAAAGTATTGAATTTTAAAAAAAAAATTAAATTAAATTAAATGGCATGGGGGCGGGTGTTACCCAACCCGTCTCGGGACGAAATTCCCCTACCTGAATAGCTGAATAAGAGGGTAATACCCACCCAATTTAGAGCAGGGTCCACGGAGATGGGTTTGAAGGGAATTTTTAGCCATTTCTATCTACCAGTTGACATCATTTTCTTTCTTTGGCTTCAAATAGAGAACTAGAGGGACGGAAGATAAGATATGATTCAAAATTAATGCTTTTGGAAATATATTTCTCTAGCAATGATGGAAAAGAAAAGAAGATTTAATTAATTAACTACGAAGAGATGACAATAGTTTTGGCTTATGAGTCATGACTCCACACCTATGCTACACCTATTTGAGCAGCATTTTTTTTTCTTTAAAGAGAAGACAGACTACTGGATTATAGACGTTGCATATATAAAGGTTGAACCCCAACCTTGAGGGCCCCCACCGTCCCGTCCCGTCCCTAGAGCTTTGTGAGGGAGGTAAATCGCAGGATGTGCCCCAACAGGCCAGGGAACAAGAATTGCCTGTACACTGCGCTTATAAGGAGTCCAATTCCATGTTTCAGGAATCGAACCCCCACACTGCGACTGCCAGCAAGGCGTGAGATAACCTCACTCCTATCATTTGTACCACTAGACTATGTCCCGGAGGCAGACTTTACATATATCCAAGTAACCTTGTGGCTTGTTCTCCTGTTTGCGTGCTTGGAACATGCAAATTTGTGAATTGTTTCTCCTGCGAGACAAAGATTCCAGTGTGACGCTTTGTTTTCCAACGTGAGGTGCTTTAAAATCCTTCTATGTTTTGTTTCTTATCTTTTACATAATGTTCTATGCTAAAATTGACTTTGCACACATACTGTACTGGAATATTGAGAGAGAGAGAAGTTTCCTAGAAACATCAAACATCCAAAGGAGAGTGAAAACATCCAAATGAGAGTGAAACGTACGTTTATATATATATATTTGTAAATTTTCCTGAAAACATCCAAATGAGAGTGAAACGCACGTACGTTTATATAAAGTTTCCTAGAAACATACACGCGTCTATTTGTAAAGTTTCCTAGAAACATACATATGTCTGTGTATATATATATATGTGTATATATATATATATATATATAGACAGATAGATAGATAGATAGAGAGAGAGAGAGAGGCGAGTATCATTTTCATATTACCTTAAATTCTCTCACCAGTATCTTCTTCATATTCAGTTCTTCACTTCTCCTTAAATTCTCTCACCCAAGAATAATGTTATACTTTGATCTAAGACACGCTGCCCTCTTCGTTATAAACATATTGAAATCATATACAGCCACATCTTGGGAATGGGATCCATTTGGTATAGCAATTGAAAACTTCACTTGGATCAAGTTTTGGCTTCTCACTAGCTTTTTCCTTCTCTTCTCCTTCATTTCCATTGAAATCCCATTGACACCTCAAGTTGAGATAGGATACATACGCATTCAAGTCAAGAATTACTCAGTTTCCCTATTGGTTTGTTTCTTGGCCTCTCTATTCTTCCCACAAGATGTCTTTTGGAATATCTACCCCATAATTATGTTGCTTTCCTTATGCACTACATGTATCTCTAGCATGTGGAGGAGTTTTAAGCTGAGTTTTCAACTTCTATTGCCATCAATTCCTGTTCTTAACATATATATGACCACAACAATAAATATTGATGAGGAACCCGACATAGAATCGCAGGTGAGGAGACAAATTCAGCAAGATTAGGCCAAATGCAAAACTGGAGCTGAGTTAGTAATTAAATATAGTTATTTGGAAAGAACAATAATGTTTTGATGTAGTTTATTTGCCTCTTTTGTATTGCATTTCTGTTAGCGCATAGCAAATGTAATTCGAGGAAAACACAGTGTTTCAAAGCTTCAGATAGGATGAAAGAATCACCTCTCCAGTGATTTGTTTGGTCCCCACAAAGGGAGGTCAAGTTTTATTATAGGATGAAAGAATCACCTCTCCAGTGGTTTGTTTGGTCCCCACAAAGGGAAGTCAAGTTTTATTTTAGGATGGTTGTATTGCCACTATAATTTTTATTAATTACACTACATTTTATTTTGCTCATTATAGTAATTATTTTCTTAATTTTTTTCGTGGAATTCTTATTTTCAAATTTTCATTAGGTAGTACATCTCGTCCTTGACGATAATTTATATCAAAATATTTTGTTCTATGCTTTGAAGTGAGGGGAAAATATTTTTCTTACTTTTTTTTTTTTTAAAAATATAATGAAAAAATAAGTTGGTATACACTATGTAATAAAATATATAAATGACATACTATATACCTTTTTGGAAAATAGAGTCGAGATCTACTATCTATCTAATTAATTCTTGACATGTCATTAATAATTAATATGTTATCTTAAATTTATCATCATTAACCCACTAAATTAATGTGTCATGAATTAATTGTGCGTTTATTTGGAAGCTATTCGATTTTGGGGATAATTTGGACTGTCTACGCCATTAAGTTTGCGGGGTCCGACCACTCACTCACTCACATTCGGGTACAAATGGAAATCTCCACAAATTTCGCTGTGTAACTGTCAAAATTTTCACCAAAATCCTACTGATGAGAATCGCCTCCATGGTCATTAAAACAGTCCAGCTACGACGGACCAACATGCTTCTCCATCTCGATCTCCCTTGGTCTCGGTGTTGAACTCCACCGCCACCGAGGCTCCCGTAGCACCGGCGTTTCTACCTACATGCCACTCGATCTCGATTCCCCTTGATCTCGGTGGACCAAGTAGAACTCTGCGTGTTAGACTGAACACTGGGCCAAGATCTGGCCCTGGTGCCCCCACTGCCACCGAGGCTCCCGTAGCAGCGGCGTTGCGACCTACATGCCACTCGATCTCGATCCCCCTTGGTCTCGGTGGACCAAGTACAACTCTTCGTGTTAGACTGAACACTAGGCCAAGATCTGCCGCAGGTGCCCCCACCGCCACCGAGGCTCCCGTAGCCTCCGTTGGATGCAGTCGCAGTGGTAGTCACTTTCGACGGCTCCGAATCTTCACTGGTGGTAAGAACCTTGGGCCGCCACCTGCTGTATGAAAGTTTTTTAGATTTTTCTCAGATAGTGGAGATATTCAATTCAAGCCTCGCGTTGAACCATGGGACCCCGCTCCATTTTTATAAATAATGTCTCTTCCTTGTCTTTCGTCGGACGCGGATATTCTAAAACGGGCACAATTGGGATATTGTGATGTGCAAGGCAGCCTTTATTTGTTCTCATAAATTCTCAGCACTACTTCGTCCATCAGGCGATCGATAAAATATCTAAACCAAAATTCAACCTCCAACTATGACTTTTGACGTTTCTGGGTACACCGCAACCTCCAACCTCCGGCAACTGTTGTCGAGGCAGCTCCAGCGGACCCTCACCTCCAGCTTCGGCTGTTGAGGCACACTTGGTGCGGGATAGGCACCAGAGTTGTGCCACAACGGAGTGGCCATGGGATTCGGAAGGAAAACCAAAATATTTATTAAACTTGCCGAGATTAGTATTGGTTTCGAGATTGTTTCTAGAAATTAAGAACGTGGCTCCTTGCAGTCAGTTTAGAGCACACCACCTATGTTGCTGAATAAAATTCCTCATCCACATTGAAAGAGATTTCCTGTTGCTTAATAAGTTGTTCTGTGTCAAACTGGGTTGGTTGAATCCTGTCGTCCTCAAGGTGCTAATCTGCTGAGCAAATGTCAGAATCTAGCGATCCACATATTCATCTACGTAGTAACAACCTTCCAGGCTCGTTGAAAGTGGCTCAAAATGATTGAACCTCATCCAACTTGGATGCTACATGTGAGCTACATTTTGTTAACCTTGATGTATCTTGTTGGAGTCACTCGGTGAGGCAGAGCTGCAAACTAGGCTTGTTGGTGGAGAAAGTGAGGCGAATCTGTGAACTAAATTCGTTGACGAAGAAAGGCTCACCAAGGTGGTTCCTAGAAAAGGGACTATTGGGGTCGGTTTCTCGGGGCTATCAAATAATTATGATGAGGCCCTCAGGTATGATATTTTCACCTTTTGATCCTTGAAGAACTTAAACATAACTTTTTTCTCATAACTTAATCTTCTTTAATTTCTATACTAGGCAGAAATACACGAGTTTGAGTAAAATGAAAAAATAAAAAAAAAATAAATAGCTATTTTCTATTGATTCTTGAGGAAACATGCTCAGAGGACATAATAACAACTAACATAATTCTCAAAGATGAGGATTCCTATTAAAACAGGAAAGGCCCACATGTTTACTGTCATATCACATATTTAGGAGCCATGCTTAGTGCTGGACAAATATGTAGATTACTATGGAAAAAGTTTTAATATCTTTTTATTGTTTAATTAGTACTATAAATCGAGCTCATGAAAAATGTTGAGAGCTAAGAGCTTGTTTGAAAATGATTAAAAGTTCCTCAAAATGGATTTCTTTGGCAGTATTCTATAAATATGTCGTGAATTTGTGATGGTTGTTTATTTTTTAATGCTGTCTAATATTTTCTTTTATTGTCCAACTAACACATAACGTATGTCAATGCAAAGATGAGATTGGATGGAAAGGATAGGTTGGACTAAAATGTTCTTTAAATGTGTGTGATTCCACAAATTAAAAATTTGACAAAGATTATCATGGACTGAAACGAAGGTAAGAAAATATGGTTAAACTTTTTTGAGTTTCAATTAAATCCACAAATTTAGGAAATTGGCATGAGCATATTTTCTAGGAAAGGGAATCAACCCATATTGGTAAATGAATGACGAGTGGAAATAAAGCAAAATGAAGAAACCAAGGACAGTACCTTCATTTCTTTAGCAAATCATAAAGGTCATTCCTGTCATGCAATAATTTGCAATAACAAGATATGTTCCCACTGTCTACAAGAACCAGAGAACAAATGGTTTATTTTTGAGGTCCCTCAAATATCTAAGGCCTTAGGCCGTTGCCTAATTGGTAAGATTTGATGGGAAAATTGGTAAAAGTTGTGAATCCTACGAAATGTAATGTATGATTGAAAATAAATTTTGAAAAAATGAGTTTAGTAGATGATATAAACATATTTATGAGTTTTAGTAAATGATGATCAGGCATTTTCTTAATCATTAAGGCAAGTGTCAAATGTATAGATGGTGGGGTTGTCAACACTCGTGCCTTTCTTTGGCACATACCTTAAAGGTATTGACTTTTTGATAAGTTGAGGATACGAGGACTAGATTTAGTTGGAGACTTTGAATATGTTATACCCCTTTGAAGTCTTTATATCCATTTACGTTGTAGGGTAAACAAATCAGATATGTTTAATTTTAACTATTTAATCATATTTATTTACAATATTTAACATATTGACCCAATCTTTAATGCGTGGAGATTTGAGTTAGTTTCAGGAAATTATGAAGACTGATGGTTTCAGGAAATTATTGGAGTGTGATTACTTGTTCAATGTAATTTATTTTGGGAATTCAATGTAGATGTGTGTAATTTATTTTGGGAATTAAATCCCTATATAGTTAAAACTCAATCTAGCAATATTGATTTTGGGAAAAATATCTTAATAATTAATAATAAGTCCTGATATCTTAGGATAGATCGATCTTGGTCTCCGTATATTCAAATCGATTTTTTTCTCTAGTTCAGTATACGTAATTTAGTCCACAAGTAAAATAGTTATAATATGTGAATGCCAAATGACCCACAAGTAAAATTGGGTTTACTTCATTTGCACTCTCTGGTACTTGTAATTCACAAAAATGTAAGAAAATAATTTTTTCTATATCAAATATGAGTACAAGAGAGAAGTATTTAAGCGGCTACTCTATACAATACAATGAAACCCTAAAGTTGGATAAATCTTTTAAGCATTCAAGCATAATATTCTAGGTATGAAAGCTAGAGGCATATTCAATGAAATTATGCAAAACTTTTATACTTGAATCTCCCAGATATTAACCGTCCATGATGATACAGACTTTTCAAACATCATTGAAATCATTGCAGATTCTCCTTAAGCCTCATATTTGCTACGGTCTCTAGATTAATTCATTTAAATTCATTGAAATTAAGAAAAATATTAATGCCAATAATACCTGAAAAGTGGTCATTCTACCATTCTACTACTTCGGAACCCTCACTGCAACCCATATTAATAGTTTAACAAGTTATCAAATATATCAAGTGTGTGAAGCTACAGAGGCTATCATTTGACCATGCATCAACTCATAATTGGCAACGGTAACTTAATTGAATCCTATTAACGAATGGATTTCTAAATGGCATGCTAAGGTTTGAATCCTATCAACCTATCAAATATATCAAGTATAGTTTTGCTGATGTAAAAATAACAATATTGTTATATTAAATAAAAATGTGTTTATTTTATTTATTACATTTATTTATTATTAAGCATGTGAATTAAAGTGCCTATAATCACTTGTGATAATATAAATTGGATACTTGCGTTGAGAAATATAGGGTGACACAACTTATATTTTGATCATAAATAATTTGTTCATAATCAATGTATAAGGGTTGACACCTTGTACTGGAAGGTTGTAATATTGATCGATTCACTATTCACGTTTGTGATTTGTCCTTATTACAAAAATAGTTAAAGGTGGTACTAGTACACTTGTAGTCTATTGAACGGATCACGTGTCAAATTTAATTCCTACAGCATAACCGTGCAAAGAATTAAATTTCACTTGATCGCTGTGTATTTCATATAAATCCCTTAATAGTGTTATGTATATTTTTTCGTGATTTTAGTGGTTCTTTGATCATCAATGGGTGATATTAATTTGATTGGTTAAATATCTTGATGAGCTAAGAATTTGAAAATAAGCAAGGTAGAGAACATGAATTCGTGTCGAGAATCGTCACCTTGAAAAATGGGTAGAGTGATTACTTAAGTATTTACTGTTGAATGATTAAAATTTGAGCTAAGTGTTTAGCGACGGTTAAACTTCGACATCTGTGATTAGTTTACATAATCGTTGAAGAAAATGATACTTAAGCTAGTGATAATAAATAAAAGGGCAAAACAGTCATTTATGCTCGTACCTAATTATTAAATCTCGGACGAGGATAAAATACATATACAACAGGTTAGAGGAAATCATTACAAATTTATTGGTTTCTGTGTCTTTGGTGGAAAAAGCAAAGACTAATAATTAGATTGTGTGGTCTAAAGTCTACTAGACATATCTAATTATTGGAGTTTGGATAATATATGTTATATCAGGTCCCTATGTCAGCTCCATAAATTATTGGAATTGAATTATAGTAAATGTAATAATTTTGAGATTAACTGTAATTACAATAAAATTTTGTACTTAGTTATAATTATTATGAAATTTGTAAACTTAATTATAAAGTTTTAGGACTACACATGTAATTAAATGTGTACTAATTGAATTTGGACTTTAGGTAAAACTCCTACTTAGATTTTAATTAGAACTCTTATTTGAATGTGAAATTATTATTGTACAAGAATTAGAACTATTCTGTCTCTATAATTAGAGATTATATAGAACCTAGAATTTCTAATCATTTTACATAAATCCATAGTGTTCAAATTGAAGAGAGGAAAAAAGAGAGAAAATATTATTTTTCTTGCTTTTATTCAATTGTCAGTTTAAAAATTAGTTTCTTGATATAATTAAAAAAAACGTCCACTCATTGGTGTAGTTTTGATTTTGGAGAATACAATAGAAGACTTGGAGATTTGATGTATCAAGTTCTTGCAATTAAAAGCTAGAAGTCTATGATCCAAAAAGGTGGAATTTCGTGATTTGAATTAATTAAATAATTAGTCATCAATTTAGGTAAAAATTCAAATTCTTTATCCTTGATTTAACATATACGTGGACATCTAAACTGCAACGTCCCAAATTTCCAAAAACGCCGGGATGTTAAGAAAAACGCTGTTTTCTTTTATAATAATTGTGGAACGATTTAAATAAAAGGAAATTCTTTATTTTCAACGATAAATATCAATTTAAAATAACCAAAAGAGTCTTTGAGCAAATAAAACTAGCAAATAATTTAGAATTACAGAAAAAAAAGGAAACTAAATATTTAATTTCTTTTTCCTTTCTTCGAGTCACTTGGCTGTCTGCGTCACCAATTCGTCACAACTTCAATTAAATTGAACTAACCTTTAAAAATTTGTAAGAGTGAGTATTCAAAAACACCCAATAAGATACGTGCAATTTTCATATACAAATATATAACAATAAAAATTATGCATTTCATACCACTTTGATCTTATGGAGTAATTTCGTGACCAAGTGACACCCATCTTAGGCCTTCTTATAATCCTGTAGGATTTCATATTTCTTTTAAAAAACGAATGTCTGCAGGTAATTCATTCATATTTTATTTAAAATGTATTTTTCTCTCTCTTCTTTTCAACTACACATTCTTTATTAAAATAATATTACACGTAAATCAAAAACTTTTCTTCATTTTTCAACCACACATTTCACATCAATTTGCTATTCTAAAATGTATTTTTACATAAAAATGTCTATCAAACACCCCCATATTCTACTTTCTCGATTGCATCAAAATTTTGGTGACTGAATCTTCGAAATTATTCTCTCTCTCTCTCTCTCTCTCTCTCTCTATTGTCTGATATGTAAAAATTTCTTGGTGGAAAATCAAGGTACAAATGCACATTATTTATAGTAAAAAAATGGTAGTTGAGTCATGGTACAATTTTGACGGTGGGGAAAACGTGTACCACTTGGATAAACTTTAAAATTTGATAACCCAAACCATGATATGACACATGTATGATAGTACTTGAATATCTCACATATAAGATTACATTTAAACCTTTATCCTTTATCAAAATATAGGATAAAAATGACTTCATAAAATTTTATCTCATCTCTGTAAAATCTCTAGTTGGTGAAAATAATTTTTAAAACCAATAAATCTTTAAACGCATGGCCAAGCAGGAGATGGAAAATTTATCTAATTCATATGATAAGTTCTAGATTAGTTTTAATTTGGATTTTGCTTAATTAGAAGTATCCCAATCACCTTATCCACTCATGTAGTGCAGGTAAAATAAACGTAAGGACTAATATTTTAATTTAATTTAGTAACAATATCCGGAGTTGAATTATATCAAAATCGGATTATAATTATCAATTTACATTAATCGTCATCAAAATGTGATAAAATAACAATTAACTACAATCTCATATCCACCACCTTATCTCTATAGAAGAGCACACGTGGCTACCCCTTTTAAAAGTTGGTAAATTCTAATTCCAATTAAATAACAACTTCTACAACCTTCAATATCTTGAGCCAAACTTATTAGAATTAACTTTTTCTCGAGCCTAAAATACATAATTAAATACGGGCTCTCCAACGAGTGTAATTTGATATACTTATCATCACTCTATCAAAATCCAACTATTTGCCTCAAGAATATAATAATTTAAAATATACTTCATCCAAGTCCGTCATTTTCAAAATAATCAAATATAATATATAGAATAGATAATAATTTTTTTCCCTAAAAATATTTTAGGGATGTTACATAAACGATCTTGTTTATTTAATTAAATTTTTTTTATTTAATTTCTGGACAATTCCGCTTCCACATTGTAACAGGTGTAAAGTGGATGCAATTCTCGGTTATTGAGCCTGTGATGCTTAATGCAGACAAAAATAAATGTTCTATCTATCGGTTTGTATTGGCCTTGCAGAACTTAGATGTCGAAATTACAAATCCATTAGTTAACCACTCTTGCGTACCAATTGCCACTCAAAATACAGTTTCGTAGTCTATCATTTAATAAATTGGAGGTGTGCACATTTGTTGTAGGAATCACATTTCATGTCCAAAATGTCGAAGAAGATTTAAATAAATAAATAAATTTGTGTCCTAATTGCTAGCTTAAGCTTTTAGATGATGTGGTTTGATGAGCAAAATTACGCACATCTCATAAATTGAAAAATGAATCCAAGTTACTCAAGGATCTTCAGAAATTCCGTAAATAAATTTGTCCTATCCCCATAAGCTAATGTTATTAGACGATGAGATTCAACTTTAACAAAAAGGAAAATTTTTAACACGGGAAAAAATGAATTTGCACCAGTAAACAATAGAATTGAGGGATTGATAACTTCACGAAGGCCGTGTGTTCAAAATAGCTTTAATCCCGCATGGATGACCAAGAAATTCACTTATATTATGAATATTCTTGCTTCCATTTCCATCATCACCATAATTTTGGCAGCCTTATCCTTTCCTTCTTTCTTGCAAAGAGATTTGCTCTCTTAGCATTTGATTCTGACAACTTTGTTTTACATACATTTATTCTCTAGCCGCTAACTCTCCTAAAAATAAAAAAATAATAAAAAGAAAAAAAATTAATTTTCAACAAAGCTTTTGAAAAAAATTTCAGTAACATAAAACTGGTAACCCTATTTAAGCTCCATTGTTTGAGAATAGATTTTGTTAAAAGTGATATTGTTACATATTTTTCTACAATGTGGGCCACATGACAGCCAAATAAGAAGAGGCTATACAAGGGAAACACTCAAATTCCCATCGTCTCCTCTTCATGCCTT